CTGACAGGACCTGGGGAAGCTGCCTTTAGAGTCTTAACCGCAGGCTCTGAACAGTTAGGTGTGAGCCTGGCGCCCTCTGTTGGACAGACTGGTGTACTTGGAATTTGAACCTTTGGTGTGATTTCAGGCAATGGCAATAGATGATGCCTATTCCTCCTGATGACTCCTGACGGGCTCTCCACGATGTATGAGCGGGGTGTAAAATGAGGTGAGACGACAGTCCCTTCACTCTTGGTGTCTGTGATCCACACCGGTTGTCCTGGTGAGAGCTGAGGAAGAACTCTCACACGATGTCTTTTGTTAAACACTGAACTGTCCTTTAGTCTCCTCTCTCTCTCTCTCTCTCTCTTCACCACTGTAGCCTCATTTGGCAGGCTGGGAATGAGCAACGAGGGAAGCTGAGGAACTGGCGTACGAAGTCTCCGTCCCATTAATAGTTGCGCTGGGCTGTATCCATTAGCCAATGGGGTCGCTCTGTAGGCTAAAAGCGCAAGATATGGGTCTTTTGCTTCCTTTAGTAGTCTTTTCACAGTCTGGACATGACGCTCAGCCTCCCCATTGCTTTGAGCAAACTTTGGACTGCTGGTTACATGTCTGAAACCATATGCTGCAGCAAAGTCTTTAAACAGCTGGCCTGAAAACTGAGGTCCATTGTCACTGTAGAAAAGCTCTGGAATGCCATGTCTGGAAAAGATTGACTTTAGGTGAACTATAACATCCTCTGATCTTGTGGGCATCAATTTAGCTATCTCCACAAATCTGGAATAGTAGTCCACCACCAGAACATAGTTACTGTTGTTAAGAGTAAAAAGATCAGCTCCAACTTTTTGCCATGGTCTTTCAGGGAGCTCACTGGGCATTAAAGGCTCCACTGAATTGGCACGTTCCTTAATGCATGTGGTGCAGTTTTTGACAAGCTCGTTGATTTGGCCATTCAGACCAGGCCACCACACTGTCTCTCTAGCTCTCACTCTGCACCTAGACATTCCCTGATGTCCCTCGTGTAAAACTATGAGAACAGAGTTGCGCATAGTAGGAATCACGAGTCTGGTGCCTTTCAGTAACAGTTCGTCATGTACAGTTAGAGTGTCTCTGTGTGGCCAATATGCTTTGATTGGACCTGTGAGATGGCTGTAATCTGGCCAGCCTCTCTGACACAAAGACATGACTTCACAACATGTGTTATCTGTCTTTAATTGTTCTTTCAGTTGTGTGATGTATGTTGAGCTAGCAGGTAAGCTTCTGACTATTTCATCGACGTAGATGTTTGTGTCAGCCATCAAATCTGCTGCAGCTTTAGAATCTGAATCTTGCACGACAGGTGCGCGTGAAAGGGTGTCCGCTGTGAAGAGTGCTTTGCCTGGAGTGTGTGAGATGGAGTAACTGTACCTCATGAGCCTGAGTCGGAACCGCTGGATCCTGGGTGGAAGCTTGGTTAGGGCTTGTTGTCCCAGCAGACTGACAAGTGGCTTGTGGTCAGTTTCCAAGGAGAAGTGTCTCCCGATGAGGAAGTCTTTAAATCTTTCACATCCCCACGTTAATCCAAGTGCCTCCTTCTCCACCTGTGCGTACCTCTGCTCTGTCTCTGTTAAAGAGCGTGAGGCGTATGCTACCGGTCTCCACTGCTCGCCTTCTTTCTGAAATAGGACTGCTCCGAGTCCGTAGGATGAGGCATCAGCAGACAGCTTCAGATCTTTGTTGGATCATAGAGTGTGAGAACAGGTGGTGATGTCAGTTCACTTTTCAGCTGATCAAATGCTTTTTGTTGTGCATAGCACCAAACCCACTGGTTTTTCTTTGAAAGCAGATCTCTTAGGGGCTTATCTTTTTCAGCCAGTCCTGGAATAAATTTGCCTAACTGGTTGACCATCCCAAGGAAGCTGCGAACTTCGCTGACATTTGATGGCTCTTTCATCGCTTTGACTGCCCTGATTTTATCCGGGTCAGGTTGGACTCCCTCCGCATACAAAATGTGTCCAAGGAACTTTACCTCATGTTTGCTTAAGTCACATTTCTCCATATTTAGTGTGACACCAGCCTCTTGCAGTTTGTGAAGCACTGTGTGAAGTCTGACATTATGTTCCTGCTGGTCTTTTCCCCAAATGAGTATGTCGTCCATGTGACAAACCACGCCTGGCAGCCCATTGAGAATCACTGACATTCTCCGCTGAAAATGTTCTGGGGCTGAGGCTATTCCAAAAGGAAGTCTGTTAAAATGGTAACGTCCAAAAGGGGTAATGAATGTTGTATAGTGTGCCGACTCAGGTGACAATGGGACCTGCCAAAACCCTCTGTTTGCATCTAACTTACTGAAGACGATTGCTCCAGCCAGAGATCCAAGTGTCTGTTCCACTGAAGGTAAGATGTACTTCTCTCTGCACACTGCATTATTGAGGTGAGTGAGGTCCACACAAATGCGCACTGAGTCATTTTTGGTTGGCACTGGGACCATACCTGAGCACCATTCAGTTGGCTCTTCAACTCTGCTGATTACTCCCATGGACTCCATTTTTTCCAGTTCCTGTTTCACTTTTCCCAACAAAGGGATGGGGACACGTCTTGGTGTGGCCAGGGAAAAAGGAACAGCGTCAGGTTTTAGCTTAATAGTATAAGGTTGCTGCATTAACCCCAAACCCTGACACAGCTTTGGGTATTTCTCATTTAACACTTCCATGTCTATGCTATCTGCCCTAGACACAAGGTTTAGCTTGACACTTGCTGGCCTGCTCAACAGCGCTATGTGCAAATCTTTGATAACATATACATTTTCTTCAATTTCTTCTTCACCTTTGCACAATGTTTCTCTGCACATACCCAATACATTGAGAGGAGTGCCCCCAGGTCCAAACAATGGTCTGTCTGATTTGCATAACTCTGCCACATTGTGGTTTATACTGTAGTACATCTGGGCTGGGATAACTGAAACATCCGCTCCAGTGTCTATCTTAAATCTGACTTTGTGGTTTCTGATGGTAAGATCTGCATACCAAGGATCTGAACCTGCGTCCACAGAACCAAGGAACATGGGTGTGTCATTATAATCCTCTGTTTCTATCACATGCACAGATTTAACAGACTTACACACCTTACTGTAATGTCCTCTTTTACCACAAGTGTGACAGGTCACATCTCTTGCTGGACATTGAACTTTAGCATGTGCAGGTGTTTTACCACATCTGTAGCAGGATCTCTCAATTGGTGTTTTGGACTTTGTTGAGTACTTTGGTTGGCTTGGAGACTTGTATTTTGGATACTGTTGTTTTGGATGCTGTTGTTTTCTATATTTCACTGCCACAGCATCTATTTCCATGTTGCCTTCGCCTCTGATGTCAGTTTGTTGCCTTTTTATGACTTCTGACTGCCGAGCTTGATTTACTGCTTTCTCCAGCGTCAAATCCTTGTCCATTTGTAATCGCTCAGCTAAGCTAGTGTCTCTGAGTCCCACGACAAGGCGATCTCTTATTAACTTATCGTGCAGTGCCCCGTAGTTGCAGTTTTCCGCCAAAGCATAAAGCGCGGTGACAAACGAGTCAACAGTCTCATTAGCTAGCTGCACTCTTTGATTAAACCGGGCTCTTTCGTAGATAATGTTTTTCCTGGGCACAAAATATATGTCCAAAGTGTCTCTTACCGCTTGGTACTGTTGTCTCTGCTCATCCGATAAAGCTTGACCTCGAAGAATGTCGTCCGCTTCATCCCCCATACAGTAGATGAGCGTGTTCACCTGGTTAGCCTAAGAGCTAAGATGCAGATTGCTGGCTAGACGGAATCTTTCAAATCTCCGTATCCACTTTTCCCATTGCTGAGGCTTAGAAAAATCAAACGCTTCGGGAGGCTGAATGGTGAATGTGGCGTTCAGGGGTGGATTTGCGTTACCATTGTTGCCGCTGTTTACCTGTAGCTGGGGCGGTAGCCTGCGAGGCTGCGTATGCGGTGCGCTTGCTCCCGCTTCCTCTGCATCCGACATTATTTTCTTCCGATAAAGTCTTCTTTTTCACTCCCAGAACAGCTTACTTTCACTCCCCGGCAATTAAGCTCTTACTGCCGCCCGACTTCTGACACCATGTCGTATTATTAGGCATAGATTCAAGCGACACCTTGTAGAGCAACTGAACAGCATTTATTTATGCGTCATTTTCCCACTCACATCTTTTCATGACCCCTCCCCGAGCACCCAGTAGTTCCGGTGCTTCCTCTGAGACGCTTCAAAATAAAACCCCCTTTCATAATAAAACCCATTACTCCACAATTAGTATTCTGATGGTTAAGTGTATGGCAAAGGGCTGGGGATTGTTCAAACTATATTATATCAATGAATGTCCTCACAAAGATAGACATAAAAACGGATGTGTGTAGCCTATATGTGTATAATATGTATTAGATTACACTACTCTCCCTAGCCTGTGGTTTCCCCCTGAGTATCTCATATCATGTTTGCAGCATCCAATGACAGTCGAGCGCACGCACACAGGTCCGCTAACACAGACACCTTTCGCGCTTTGTTGACCTAATTTAAATGCTTATATGCAAAGCTAATAATTTGCATTGACTGCTGTGTAGGTCCAAAATACTGGACAAACCCCGCTCCTAATTGATATACCGTAATACGGAACGGAACATTATAATTGTTTTCTTGTTTCTTGTTCTCCGTTAGCCTACAGTTAGCCTAGTCACCTTTATGGTTTTAGACCTATCAATCACACAATGAAGATGGACAAATCATATGAGATGAGGTTCATGATAAATGTAACATTTATTATTGTACGCTGTAAAACCCCCCAGAAAATGTAGGATAGCCTAGGCAGCTACTGGTAATTTCTCCCAGGTATTCAAAATACAGGTAAAACACCTGTAAAAACCCCCCCCGGAAAATTCCTGCACTTTTTTGCCAGTACATTTTTAAGGATTCTTTGAGAGTGCCTAATAATAAATTGCACACTAATTTATTTTTTTCTCTTCTCAGCTGTAGGATTTTAAACCCCCTTCAACCAGCAGAAAAGATGGTTCCCTTCACTAAATGGAGATCTTCGTTCATCACAGGGCTCTTCACTTTTAGCATCTTATTTCTTTTTATGTTCTTCCAAAACGCGGTGATCTATACTTTCCTAAAAACATCAGTTGATTCCACCAAAGGAGGTCTGTGCGCTTGTGATAAATGTGTCACGGATCTGAACGATGAAGACTGGTTCTTCTTGCGGTTCAACCCCACAGTTCCACCTCTGCTGAACAGGAGAAACAGTGTGTTACAGACAGACGTCTACCGATGGTGGAAGGTACATGACGACTTTCTGGATGTCTGAAAACCAAGGGTGGGGGAGACAGCGGTTGATTTGATCACGGTTAATAAATGCCATAATTGGGTCACATTCACCCCCCCAAAAAAAAAAACCCGTGGAACCTTTTACCCCCTAAAATTTTTATTTACATAAAATGAAAAGTATCCGAAATAATAGTGAAGCAGCTTGAGATTTCACACTGCTCCAGTGTTCTGTTGAAGATCTGTATGAAGATTGGGGCCAGTAGAAAGCGCAGACATTTAAACACCATCTGGGCCTGAAGCTTTGCTGGTCTCCTGTTTTTTGAAAACACTGCTCACGTCCTCCACACAGACCTTAAGTGCAAGTTCAATAGCAGGAGGTGTGGTTGAAGATGTGTGTTGGTGTTTGTGTGAAGTGCAGATCAGAGCGGGTGTGGGGTGAGAGTCTGGGCTTTTCAAATCTACAGTAAAATACATTCAGATCCTCATACAAGATTATATCCCCACTTCACGAGTTCACACTTACATCAATTAAACAGAGTAAAGATTATGCGTATTTGGCGTGCTGTCCGGGGGGAGGGCTCCGAGCTCGGAATTTTGCCCGAACCCAGAGTACTCCCCCGTTGTTGTAAGAGTATTAGGACTATAAGTGAGGAGATGGGGTGGCGGAGGGATGCTGTTAAACTGTCAATGAACGGAGGTAAGTTTGCTGTATATGTACACAGCGCTTAACTCGTTGATTAAGCACCACTCGTGTCTAATTAGGTTTGATTATCTGAATGTGCTCCACGTGTGTTTAATTAGGTTTAATTATCTGAACGTGCTCCTCCCGAACTTTGTTAATAAAACATCATTTCTGTAAGCATCCTCTTTGGTATGACGAAGCGGTTTGAGTTTCCCAGTAAACCATGGTTTATCTTTAGTGGATAAGAATGTCCTGGTAGGAATGCATGTATTCTCATGACATGAAGGCCAAGACTGTTAATTGGTAACCCATACTCAGAATTTGTCCTCTGCATTTAACCCATCCAAGTAGTGAGTAGGGACATACACACACTGCAAACAGGTTAATTACAGGTTTAGCTGATTTCAGTTTCTGCCTGTAGGTCGGTATAAGATGAACTACAGTGATCAGAGAGATCCAAAGCTGCACGTGGGACAGAGTGATATGCATACTTTATTGTGGTTTAAAGGCCCCAATATACTTCAAGCTAAATTAAAGAACAAACTAATGTGGCGTAATTTCAAACAAAATCTGGTCGAAACAAAGTTCGCTAGGAGTTTGTTTTGGGATTTCGAAACATCTTGCCTGCAAAACACCTTCGTACTGCCATTGGTCCATGGCGATTAGGTGTGCGCGGAAGCTCCGCCTTCTTTCAAGTGGAAATCTTTTGTGGTTCAGGGCCTGTTCAGTCGGTTGCGGTCAGATGTCCGTGAGTGAAAACATTAACACACTAGAGAGCTGCTTTATAGTAGAAAATGAAGTTGTACTTCTGATGAAACGAGACACCGACACTGTTTTTCATGTTTAATATAGTAAAGCTGCCTGACTTTAAAGGGTTGGTTCACCCAAAAATGAAAATTATGTCATTAAAGTCCCCGTGAACCGGAAGTTGCAAACGACTTTTCTCCAGTGTTGTGACGTATTTCCGAGAGAAACGGAATACTAAATGAGGCAAAATAGTCGGCGTGGCTTTTTTTTTCAACTAGCACCTGATTGGATCTAGAAAAGTAGGTGTTGTCATTCAGCCTGTGTACTGTCAGTTGGAGGGGCGTGGTTACGGATGTTAAGCCGACACCAAAACCGTCAAACCTACGTCATCCAATGCAGAGGGGAGGGGAAATTTCAGATTTTGATTAAATATTACGAAGCCAAAAAATTTTTTTGTGTGGATTGACTTGCATGGATGAATTGTTCACCACAAAACGATCCATTTAGACAAACAAAGTAAGTATGATCAATTTTGAATTCATGGGGACTTTAATGACTCACCCTAATGTCATTCCAAGCCCGTAAGACCTCCGTTCATCTTCGGAACACAGTTTAAGATATTTTAGATTTAGTCCGAGAGCTTTCTGTCCCTCCTTTGAAAATGTATGTACTGTCCTTTTCCAGAAAGGAAATAAAGAAAGAAAGTTTAGTTAGAATGTTTTGAAGCATCGAAAATACATTTTGGTCCAAAAATAACAAAAACTACGACTTTATTCAGCATTGTATTGTCTTCCGGTTCTGTTGTGGATCCGCGTTCAGTGACGCTGCTGACGTAAGACGCTGCTGACGTGTGTCTGGTGCGTCCGTGTATTCGGGTTCAAATGAATATGGCGGGGCAAAAAAAAGCAAGTCTTTGTGTCGAAATCCTTAGACATGTTTGCGAAGATTGTTTTGTTTACAGCGTTCTCCCTCAGACTGTAAACGAAGCTCGGGCGCACCAGAGTCTGACCAGACACACGTCAGCAGCGTCTTACGTCAGCAGCGGCACTGAACGCGGATCCACAACAGAACCGGAAGACAATACAATGCTGAATTAAGTCGTAGTTTTTGTTATTTTTGGACCAAAATGTATTTTCGCTTCAAAACATTCTAACTAACCCACTGATGTCACATGGACTACTTTGATGTCTTTATTTCCTTTCTGGACAAGGACAGTATACCGTACATACATTTTCAATGGAGGGACAGAAAGCTCTCGGACTAAATCTAAAATATCTTAGACTGTGTTCCGAAGTCATGGGTCGTATGTGGTATTAAAAAATAAATAAAATGGCATTAAAAAGGCATTACATTTAATTTGAAGATACATGCAGAAACCCTGTTTACTGGAGTGTCGCAGAGCTCGTGCAACGTCCACATTGCTATGATCAGATTCTTTGCTTATGCTTTATTAAAGTGCTTGCTGTTTTCTCAATTTTGTTTATTTTTTTTTTATTGAGAGGAAGGCTTACAGCACAGATTTACATATTCATCTAAACACCGATCTCAGCAGTGTGGACGGCTTCAGATGTTCGATAACAGTATCGTGTGGTGACGGTCACGTATTTCGATCTTCATTTTAAATCTCTAAATCTCTTAACCTCTAAATCTCTAAATTAGGAGGGCACATCTTTCTCAGCATTGTTACACCAACTTTTTTAATGTAGAAAGTAACATTAAAAATGGTAAATTATTTCATAATGCTCTTTATATGAATTTTTTTTTGTAATTTTATAATAGTTTTCCAAACTCTTACCCATGTGCAAAAGCGAATGGGTGTTGATGCTGTTTCCTAATGAAGTTGGCCAATCATAACAGTGGCTAGTGACCAGCCTTTTCAGGCAGAGGGTCAGAATGAGGGTTGAAAATTGTTTTTGGACATTTGGACGTTTTTTTTTGTTTTTGTTTTTTTGTGAAAAAAAATTACGTTGTAAGTGAACCTCAGTGAACATATGTTTTTTTATAACATATTATATACACAGTGGGGAGAACAAGTATTTGATATACTGCCGATTTTACAAAGCATGTAAAAGTCTGTAGTTTTTATCATAGGTACTCTTCAACTGTGAGTGACGGAATCTAAAACAAAAATCCAGAAAATCACATTGTATGATTTAAGTAATTCATTTGCATTTTATTGCATAACAAGTATTTGATACATCAGAAAAGCGGACCTTAATATTTGGTACAGAAACCTTTGTTTGCAATTACAGAGATCATACGTTTCCTGTAGTTCTTGACCAGGTTTGCACACACTGCAGCAGGGATTTTGGCCCACTCCTCCATACAGACCTTCTCCAGATCCTTCAGGTTTCGGGCCTGTCGCTGGGCAATACAGACTTTCAGTTCCCTCCAAAGATTCTCTATTGGGTTCGGGTAGGGATGTCACGGTACCAAAATTCCAGTAGTCGGTACCGATACAATTAAAATTTTACGGTTCTCGGTACCAATTTCGGTACCACAGCAAAATCTGTTTGAACTTTTTTTCCAATTTATTTAACTATTTGAAAAGAAACTATTTGAAAGAAGCCCCTTTCACACAGCGCTTTGAACCCGGCAAATTGCCAGAGTGCCTTCTGTGTGAACGCAAACACGAACCGGGACTGATGCCGGGTTGGGGACCTAGTAACATTGCCGTGTTCAGACCCGGAACGCGCGCTGTGTGAACAAAAGCTGTAACCAATGCCGTGTCGTAATGATGACGCTGAAGTGAAATGAAAGCAGGCTAGTGAAACGGTATGTAATGCGGTAGTTTATGATCGAATCAGAGAAAAAAATGCACAAGCGTGGTTTCTCCAGAGAGAAATCGCAGCTCATAAGCAAACTATACACGTTGCTGAGACATTCCATGTCACATCGATGTCACGTGTCTTTACGGAACATGCACGGGTTGTGTGTGAACGCGCTCTCTGATTCCGGCAAATCACTGGCAGTGTGAATGAAGCAAAATCAAACGAACCTGGGTCAAATCCCGGGTCGCTTTATCCGTGTATTATCTGGAATCTCTGTGTGAAAGGGGCTAGAGACAAGCAGAACATGCAGGGTTAATATTTAAATAGTCTACCGAATATACCCGGTACTACAGTACCGGTACTTTGACAACACTAATTTACACACATGGCTCTTTTCATCCTTTCTTATCAACAAGTGGATTTACAGCCACCACATCAGCAGCGCCGCCGGTCGCCAATGTCTCAGCGCTTTCATGAAGAGGACGCAACTTCACGCCCTTCGTGCATGCATGCGCGTCCAGAACCGGGTTTGACCGGGTACTCGGTGCCACCGGTACTTGGTACCGTGACGTTTAATTTTTTTTTAGTACCGAAGTATCGAATATTTTGACAACACTAGGTTCAGGTCTGGAGACTGGCTAGGCCACTCCAGGACCTTGAGATGCTTCTTACGGAGCCACTCCTTAGTTGCCCTTGCTGTGTGTTTTGGGTCGTTGTCATGCTGGAAGACCCAGCCACGACCCACCTTCAGTGCTCTTACTGAGGGAGGGAAGGAGGTTGTTGGCCAAGATCTCACGATACATGGCCCCATCC